CCGTACGGCACCGTGTCGGTGCACCTCCCATCGTACCAAGTCGTCGTTCTCGTTGCCGGTGGCATCGGTATTACACCGATGCTGAGCACAATCAATCAGTTTCGGCACAGACCAAGCAAGACAGTATTTCACTTGTACTGGGTGGTGCGCGACGCGAACGACCTGCTCATGGCCGAGACATTCATGTACCCGCTGCCCGAGTCGCTCGTATATCGCTTTTATGTGACGACGGCGTCAACTGAAGGCAGCGTGCTTTCTGCGTCGATGGTGCACCAACCGTACAATGGCCGCCGCCCCAAGTGGGACGAACTGATCAACGGAACGATCTTTGTCGGCAAGTCGGTGTGCGTTTTGGCGTGCGGTCCCGATCCGCTCACGCGCGAAGTGCAAACCGTCGCGCGAAAGTATGGCTTTGACTTTCACAAGGAAGAGTTTGCTTGGTAGTTGGTATCGTTCCCTCCCAGCTCATATATTTGCCTCGTACAATCAACTCAATATTTGCCATTGAAACCTCTAGTAACACTAGACCGCAAGGTAACGAAGAAACAAATTGTATCTCTGCGAATACGACACGAATGGTCAACACGGTGGTGATTGTGCTGTGTCGACAACTTGGACGCATGGCTCAGCAAGCCGGCTTGGTCGTCGGGACGGGCGTGCCCTTGATCTTGGGGTACGCCGGGAACTCGGCGACGTTGCACATACCGCGAATGTGTCCGAAGCCTTGACAATTGAAGCAGCGAGGACCGGCAGCATTACGACTGCCATTGCCACCTTGACCACCATTGCCGCCTTGACCACCGCGGCCACCACGACCGCCGCGACCACCGTGGCCACCACGACCACGTCCACGGCCGCCGCCACGACCGCCATGACCGTTGCCAGTATAGTTGATCGGTAAGTTGGGAGCGCCGGCACAATGACCTGCGTCATGGACGCTGCACGGGCGCTGCGCCTCCGACGACCGGTTGCCCCGGAGCCCGTAGCTCTAGCACCGGTCGT